TTCACTTTTCATTCCTTACTTTCTTCCTTTTTCTTTCTTTTTTCCCTTCATTTCCTCCTTTCTTCCTTTATGCTCCTTTACCTCTCCTTTCCCTTTCCCACCCATCTCTTTCCTAATTTTTTACGGGTTTTTTTCAGGATTAACCAAAGACATCAACCCCCAGAGGACCATAGCAGAGGTATCCGAAGAAAGTGACAACCAACTTGTGGCATCATCCCATAAATCACCAAAGAAAACAAACTCTTTCAAAACATCTAAGTCTTCTAAATCCTCTGATGGGAAAAGAGAAAAAAATATTCATGAGATCATAGACAGTGATGATGATGATGATTATAATGCTGATGCTGATGATGGGCTAATTGTCTCACATGCTAAAGGCAGATCATCTTCTACTAATTATGGAAAGTCCTCAGCAGGCCAAACTGGCACAAGGGATTCATGGAGCAAGAAAAAGACTCAGACCTCAGGAAAAATGAGGAAAACTTCGAGTAGGGATCTGGATGACTCTGAGGAAGAAAGCGATGACAATGCTGTTGTTGTTACATCGAAAAAACGAACAGAGAGCAAGCAAAAAGATATTGTCAGCTCAAGATCTAGTTTCCAAAGTAGGGGTAAGTAATCTTTTGTATCAGAGGTTTTAGTCAATGAAACGCGCTAGAAATATTGCATTTTTTTTTTCTTTTTTCTTCTTGTTTTACGAAGCATCATCTCCAAAGAGAGCATCGCTGGTTGATAGTCTTCTCAGTCCCAAACGAACCCTGCGCACATCAGAAGATATACGAACGACAGGCAGAGGTTCGATAAATGATGATGATGATGACGATGATGATGATGATGACATAGTCGTTGGGTCATGGAGAAAAAGAACAACAAAAGAACAAACCTCACCCAAGAAAGATTCTTGTAAGTTTCATTTTATTCTTATTCGCTTTCCATTCTAATTCCATTCTTTCTATTTCCCAATGGAGATTAAAAGAGATTTTTTCCCATTTCTTAGTGTCAAGTCTTTGGTCAGATTCTTCGAAGCAAAAGAAAAAGGTATCTTGTGGTGCATTGTGGTCTTGTTTGGGTAGGGACAGCTATTGGGTGTTAGCTAGCTAGACCAGAATGCAACTTTTTAATCTTTTTTTTCTCATATTTTTCTAGAGTTCGTCAGGTTTGGGATTCGGGTCTTTTGAGAAGTTTTCATCGTCCAGGAAACGCAACTCTGGTCTTGATGAACTATTCTAACCTCATACACTAGTACCCAAACTCTTTGCATACAYACACCACAGGTAACCCATATTGAGATAATACATAATCATTCTTGAAGGTTACTGGAATCTTATCCTGGTTCCTGCACTTTACATAGCATAAGGAAACACTAGAGTCCTTTCTAAAAATATTTATTCAGAAGGCTGAACTTAAAAAATAATCTACAGTACATATCTGGTATTTATGTAATAAGTATTTAGTATTTATTTGTAATAATATGTATTAAAATAACCCCTTGAAAGGCAGTCTGTGAAGAACTCACCTTATACATGAAAAAGAGTTGACACGTGACTATCCGTCGCCATGTTGAATGACGTCACGATCAATCCATTCTTTTCCTTTGCAAGTTGAATCTTTGATGTTTGTTCAATTTTTCTTACCTCGTGTTTAGTCTTCAACTCTCTTCAGTTTCATTTCATTTTTCGCGATTTTTTGTAACAGTATAACGTGACCGGAAGTAGCTGCCAGTATCGTGACGTCACATGGTGTTGGGCAGCACGATTTCTTACGGCAATGATTCGCTCGAAGTTATCTCGTGACTGAATCATAGCGAATTAATCCTACTCAAATCGTTTAAGTAGTCAGGATTATCTGCTTAGCCGGGAAGAAAGGTACTGTATTTCTTGTACATGCAATATTGTCATGACTGTGCGAATGTTACAAGCTACTTACAAGACAGATCAGGGCATTTTGAAGAAGAGGGAGGATTACGCTTATGTTGATTCTTTTTAAAAAATGAATAAAAAAGTTCAACATCACATACCTATTATCCCATTCGCCAGGCGCTGCTTACATTCAACCACAACTTGTAACGATATATAGAAAAAAATAAATCATATTTTCAAGAGTTACTGAAAGAAAGCACGATTCGTTTCCACGTTTATACAACCTGATCTCATTTCTTATCCGCTAAAAATAAGAAAGGAAAGCTCTAGAAACGTAAGTGTCTCATGTGTCAAGGTAAGGCTATTTTTAGCCTATGACGTAGCAGAATATGGATACGTGATCGTGATTCGTAACACAAAGGAGTACACAGGTAATTATGACGTCAAAATTTTTGGGGTAGTGACGTAATAATAACTGAAGTCCATTTGTTCGGTTCAATAAGAACGATATTATGTGAGAAGGCAGACATTTTGAGTGGTTTTAATGTGTCGTGCACGTTATTGCAAGAAAGTACAAAAGTCAAGAGAAAAAGGCCCTAATTAAGGCTTGAAGGATTTATCGAAATCATTCTCTCGAAAACGAGGTGAAATTTCTTCTGAGGAGAGCTGAAAAACGCTACGATCATTCCTAAAGGTGAGTAAAATCTTTGATTTGTTTCGTTTTCTTATAATTTTCTTATGATTTTAACACAACGAAGATATATTGAACGGCTTCATGCCCCGAGTGCGTGTTTTCTTTTTTGTTTAGTGTGGTCCGCTTGGCTCAAACTAGCGTCACTATGGCTTGACATTGTTTTATTAACCAATAGGAATCGCTTATTCTAATTGATTGACATATAATTACACAAATCTGTGACGTCACAAAGAAAAAAACACGAGAAATTGCTCGATTTTCCGGGAGAGCCTCAAAAGATACTTTAAACTTTGGCCGAAAAATCGCCGAATAACTCGACTTGGATTGAATTCAACTCAACTCTTAGGTAGGCGAAGCTTATTCCTTTCATCTTATGTCATTTTTGGTATTTTCAAGTTTCCAGAAGTAAGATTAATCCATGTTAAGTTTGGGGCGCTGGTTTTATTTGTTGCTTTTGTTGTTTCGTTCACCCTTATAGCAACCCTTTTGCCTTCGCTATTTCTTCCTCTTTCCTCTATATATCCCTTGGTTTTACTGTTCGGTGTCTTTAGCTAATATTATGGCAGATATAAACGAAAGAATTGTGATTTAATTCAGCTCCTAAGCGGCTGACCGACAAACATTTGAGGCGATAACTGGCTGGGCTTGGTTTGTGACCAAAATACCACGGCTTTCCTTTCTTTCGACGATAAATATTACAAAAACTACAATATTTAAACTATAAATAACTATCCTATATAGTAATATCAAGATTTGTGAGTTTTGTTTTGTTAAAGTTGAGGTTTTAAGGGAGAATTTTTAGTTTCCGTGCTAGTTTTGTTTCCTGCTGAGTCATAAGACAAAAGCTTGTTCACCACAGAAGACAAAATCACCACAAAAACTACTTTTCCCTGAACAACATTTCTCGCCTTAAAACCCTTTTAATTCTTTTCTCTATCCTTATGAACTATATTCACATGATTTTAGATCATTTATGATAACTTTTCTACAAACTAGAAGCATAAAAAGCCCTTTGTTGTGTAACATCAAAAAAGGTGGACAAAATTTTAATTTTGGCCTCGACGATGTCTTTAATTTTAATGATTCATATTTTGAATATTTTCGTGATTTATATTGTTTTAAAAGATTTATTCTTTATTMTTTTGTTTGGTTTACTGAACTGTGTCGATTTATTGGAACATAGTATAATTTTTTGGAGCAATAGTTTTGTTGTTGTGCATATGTTACTATTTATAAAGACAATCTCAGACACACAACAAAAATAATTTTGAATTCATCAAAATTCCTGTTTAACTTCACTTTAAACCTACAATTTAAAATTATTTTAAGACGACAATAATACGATTGAATATGAATTTCTTTTTGTATTAATATTTTTACAAGAAATATGTTTTTACTTTGTAACAAAAAGTTATAATTATGACTATCATGTGAATACATAGCTGGTGGTGATACAAAACCTTAAGCTTGAGTAATGGAAATACAAGACTCTACAGATGTGTAGGTCTTACGCATCAAGAGTATTTATTCCTTTGATATGTTCATTCGTGCTTAGAACACCAATATTACTATAAAAGGTTGTTCGTATGTCAGTAAGCATGCATCATTTCTATTATAGTGTGTAGTTAGAGGCTGTGTGACTCACTTATTGATGTATGATGTTGGCATTCATCATTCATTTCATTGAAACTCATATCTAAACTAAATCACATAACATAATACTCACTAGATACTCGCTCTTCAATATGAGCTACATAAAAGTGTCACAGATCAAAATTTCCTCTAGATTTTTTCTTTTTAGAATGTACAATATAGTCTTTTAGATAAATACTAAGTTGATTATTTTATGAGAGCCAAGGTTAGCTGTGGTTGGACTTATTTTATTATTAAACAAGCATTGTTATATATATGCTGATTTATTTTAAGAAATGCTAAACAGCCATCCCTCTTTGCTACTATAGTATGTTGTAAGTAGAGAGAATCAGTGGTGAACAGTGACCATAAAATAATAATAAGTCCAAGCCAAGGTTGGAATTGCCGTAGACGATAAAAAGTATAGTTTTGCTATGCGCAGAAACTCCAGTATAGTCCAGGGTTATTTTATTATTAATAGTACATGGTACACTTGGAATATAAAGCAAAGAATGACACAATAGAAATCTTTCATGGTATGGGGAAACATGGTATTTGTGTTTTGAGTTCCTTTTATCTGAATAACACATAGATGCTATTTCACTTTCAGTTTCATGACATATTAAAAGTATTTTCTTTCTTCATTCTATTTCACCTTTTAAGTAATATTCTCAATTTCTTTTTGAAAAGAAAATATTGTAAGAAAAAGACTAAATCAGAGAATTAGATGCCTTCCAGCCAGCACTAGCACTTGTTGCTCTACAGAACATGGTCTGTGGGGAAAACTCACAGTACATACATATGGAAAGTGAAAGTTAGCTTAAAGATGATAAATTTTGAATTTACATTGTTATTTAGTTTCATAGGAGACATCTGAATTCCATTTAGCAAAAATACCAATATGATTTGCCATGCCATTGCCTTGAGTATTATTTTTCTTCGCTAGTAATATTTGAGAACCTTAGCATTCAATTTGTATGTTAAAGAAAATTGCAACCAAAGAATGCTTAGAAGAAAAAATGTTATTCAATACATAGTCGCATTCCAACAATTCCATGTCTTTTACTTGCATTTTCTATACCTATTTGATGTTTTTTCTTTTGCTTGATAATATCATAATCCCACTTCCAAATGTCGCTCTTGAAATAAAATATACATAAATTTTAAAAGGCATTGTATTTTATCAGCGTTTTATTTTTGAATTATTCTAATAGAGTGCAAACAATTAATCCGTGAAACACTAATTACTCAATGGTACAAAATAGTGCTAATTAAACAATAGAAAACAATGGAATTTGTATGAATTGTGCTATTTAGTATTACTAAAGTTTCATGGTTATATTGTTTGCACTCTACCACTACTACTAATAATAATGATATTAACGATAGAGTGCAAAAAATCGTGCTATTTTGTATACTAAAGTTTCATGGTTATATTGTTTGCACTCCAACATTTTTGTAGGAAATTTTTTTAAATATTAGAGTTGATTTTAATACTGATATTTAATGTTTTCTTATTACAGGAATATAATAAAATGGAAAACGAAACAAATCAACCAGCATTATGCCGTAATGGTTGTGGTTTCTATGGTAGCCCATCAAATGAAGGAATGTGCTCAAAATGTTTTAAAGATGTTTTACGGCGTAAGCAATCATCGCCAACAGCTACACCAAGTTCCTCAAGTACCATACCAGCCAGTGTTGAAGGTAATAACTTAATAATAGCTTATTAACTTATATAGCACATTTTACATAACAATTATTAACAAGTGTGCTTTAGGACATAGGACATTGCTACTGTTGTTGTTATTGTTGTTGCTGCTGCAGTTAATATTGCTGTTGCTTACTGTTGTTTTTTTTCAAAAAATCAATGAACCTTTTCATAGAGGATAATACTTGACAGTAATATTTTTTATTTATCTGATAAACATGTTCCTGTTTTAACATGTCTCGTCTGTTAGCAACTGGACTGCCAATAATGTGTTCATCCAAGCCATGGTGAAGGTATAGCCATTAATTACAAAGGCAGCACCTTCTCAGTTATTTCACCCTCAGTGTTGGTGTGGCAGGGACTCAAACCACAACCTCCCACACAACAGACTCAAGCTCTTACCATCTGAGCTAACTCAACAGCAGTTGTTGTTTGTTGTTGCTGTTGCTCTGTTTTTGTTGCAGCTGTTGTTGCTTGCTTCTGTTGTTACTTCTGTTATGTGTTATTATTTTCCTCATTATAATATGGTCTGATGATAAACCCTTTCTCCAGGTTCAAGTAGCACTACTAGTATGGATGGTGCAGTAGCAATGGCTGCCTCCTTGTCATCRTCCTCATCAATGTTATCATCTATACCTTGTACTAGCATTGATAATAAAACAATAGATGATAGACAGCCAAAAGTGGTTGATATTGAAGCTGGTCCATCGGAAGATCCAAAGGATAAAAGTAAAACAAAACGAAATAGATGTTTTACATGCCGCAAGAAAGTTGGTTTAACTGGTAGGTGTTCAAGTTATGCAAAACCTTTGAATTTAATCAATACCTTTAAACAAACACTCAGCTGATCTTAGTCAGGGCATGG